GGTCTGCCTTAAAATAAACACGCCGCATGTAGAGGCATTAAAACGCTTCCGCTTATCAAAATAAAATCCGCCTCCTATCTTTTCCGTGTTGCATCGATTTGCTCTCCAAAGATAACCTACTTGCAATCTTTAAGAAAAATTCAGATTTTTGAAAATCCTTTAGGCCTCTCGTGTGTCTTTTCCTTCTTTCTAAACGGGAAAGTAAACCCGGGACACCTCGAGAGGCCAGGGAGCACGATCCCCACGGCAAGGTCAGCGATGCCTGCAGCACCGCCAACCCTGCTTTCTTCCTCCAGCTCCGAAATAAAACCCTCCAGCGACGGATCTTCCAGCTATTCCAGCGTGAGGCCGCTCCCTTTGCTAGATACCCCTCCTTCCAACACCTCCTCTCCGCCTCAACCTCCAACATCCCATCCAGGTCCGTGTGCTCCAATGCAGTTACCCAAGGTCAAGCCAGTCCCGCCCTCCAGCGCAGAAGGCAAGGCAAAGCCGGCGGCTGACAGCCGAGGGACCCCGTCTCCAGCAATTTTGGACACCGCTCCAAGCAAATCCATCTGTAGGCCACCAGCACGAGAGCGGCCGTTGTCATTTCCTGTCGCTCGTTATGTCTTGGGTAATTACAAGAACGCGTCCGGTCTACGGAGCGAGGAGTCATTCCCCAAAATTGTGCCAAGAGAGAGAGACTTGACCTTAGGAACCGGAATCTGCTTGGAAATGCTGTCTCCGATTCACAAAAGCTATTCCCGCTTCATATCTATGATTAAAAAAGAAATCACAACTTTATTACTGAAGAGGGAACAGACGAGATGGCAGGAACTGACAAAATGCCACATTATTTGCTAATCCTAATATGTTATTCTTCCCTAAGATTTGCTTTTCTCAGCACCAATTCAATTATAGATGCTACAAATCCTTCTGACATTTAATTCCCTCTTGTCAGAGAGTAGTAAATGTATACATGCAGAGCTTTCCCATTAAGATGTTAATATATATTGGAGCACGCCGGCCTTTAAATCGAAGAGTCAGAATTCTTCTGTCGCGGTTACGCTCCTGGTTCGCTCATGGGTTTTTTTGCGGGTGGGAGCGGGAGGAGGGAGGGAAGAGCAAGGGAAGGTGCAGACATCGCTGCATGTTGCGACCGACGTGCACACCTACGTGCCTACGCTGCAGCTACTTTGCACCTCAGCTGAACCCCATTTCGTGGGGTGGTGCTTTGCACGACACCAAAGCACCTTCCAGGAAAACTGCAGCAATAAGGGTACGATCCGCTTGCAAAAAGTGAATATATGCCGGAAAAAAAGCAGTTTTTCTTTTAAGCTGCTGTGATGCCTCCCCCGAGAGACCGGTACGGTTGTGCCCTGCGTTAGAGGGATGCCGTAACTTCATCCGACGTAGCGCTGAACTCGTCTGCGCGAGATGCGGCTCCATAGACAGCAGCAGAGAGCACCGTAGACCCGTTCCAAATTCTGGCCAAGAGGAGACTTTGCGAGCTGTAAATCAGTTTTTGCGTCTTCTTGTAACCAACCGCTCACGTAATCAACGAAAAAAGAGAGATTCTGCCGCCTGGAACGCGAACCCTGAAGTTTTCCTTTAAACAGAAAGTGCAATTCGTGAAAACGGCAACGTAGGCAGAAAAAAAAAAGGCGTTTTTGACTGCTTCCTACTTGCCGCCGTACTAACGGAACTTATTCCGAGCGTCGGGAGCAACACGTAGCAGACGTTTAGCTGGTTATCTTCCACGTAAGTATTGCCAACTAACACGCGCGTTTTAAACCCGCAGCTTCTAAGTTATGGGTGGTGGATTTTTTTATGCGACGGGAGACACTTTTTAAAAAATAAACGTGTTCACGATCTCAAGTTTTCTAACGTTTTTCCAGAGGTAACTGCTTAAAAATAGCTTTCTGTGGACTGGCTCAAGAGCAT